TTTGGGCAAAGTAGCCCAGACTGAAAACTGCACTAGAATGTCTCAAGTATCCACGCAGCTGAGAGGATCGTAATGATCTTAACAGCACTGAGTCACCATCCGGATGGTGACTGGAGAGAAGTCAACAGCCATCAATATGTGCGAGGGATACCAGAAGCTCTCTGCTCTCAAAGCCTATGAATCTGGCTTTGCAGAACAACTGGAGGCTGCATAGGAAGAGAGAGCTGTCTCACCTTCTGTGGGTTTCAACTGTGAAGAAGGAACTGCAAAGAATCCAGGAACTTTTTTTCTATTTCCATCTCAGGATCAGAAAGAAGTCCAAACTTAATAACACCAAAAAGTAAACGTAAGTTCAGCAAAAACTTGTCCGTTAAGGTTTTATAGGTGAAAGTTAGGGAAAACATGCACACTACTTACATGGCAAGGAGCAAAAGGGTGTGAAAATATGCAGATTTATCTCTCAGAAGGGTTGCGTACACACAAAAAAGTAAACAAGTTATTTTTAAAACCAGAATTACCAAGTAATTGCCATATTTAATAATGCCAGATTATTATACATATAATTGCCAGATTTAATAAGATATAGTATTTCAAAATAAGTTAGTGCTTAATAGATAGTCAACAAATTCCTGTTGTTGTCTCTGTACCTAGCCAACATAATGAGAGGTAAGCTCACATCTTTAAAGCAAATTATACTTCTGTTCCATACATTGTTTTTTCTCTTCAAGAATACTAAAAGCATGATTTGAAAATGAAGCAAGGCTTCTCCTTCAACTCATTTGAAATGGCGCTCAAAACACAGTTTTTGCTTTTGTTTTTTGCACTTGCTCTTTCAATGTTATGAGAAAATGTAGAGGAATCTTATGGGGAATACGATGTTTAGATATTGTCTTTCTGTGTGATGCATTACATATGAATTAGTAGATATCTAATTAAGCATAAAGACATACTGGCAAGATGCAGGCACACTTCACTAACCATGTGGGAGACACATGGGTTCACCCTACTATGCTGCACGCTGAAAAGTAAAGTTCTGGGTATTAAACACCGTACAGCTTTCTGCATCTCTGAACATGATGGCCAATGGAAAAAATACATGAGGCCGAGCATCTTCTGTTTTCCTGTGAGTATGAAAGATGCGGAAGGTTACTCTTTAGTTCAAAAGCAATATGTCAGAACGTTGTCTGGGTTACTGCTTGTTTTTTTGCTTTGGAAAATACCACATGCCATTTCTCCTGAAGGGTTCTTCATAAGACTTGCAGGAATATGAAAGAACAGGAGTTTTATTTATTTGAATAACTGAGGGATGAAGGGATTTTTAAGAATCTTAATAAAACCTCTAGCCTGTTTACTTTTTATTTAGAGCATTTAACTCAAAAATCTTTCAAGAAAAATCTGTGAAAGATCCAGTATTCTTGCTTAAAATAAGGTTTGCAATAATTTTCTCTTGTACCCAGTGATCCTCCAAACCAGGGAAGATCCTTCTAAAACGCAGATGTGCTGATGGTGCTGGATTTGTATATTCATCCTCATGAAGCCACTTTTACCATATAGACTGAGTAGCTCAGCCAGCCTCATGGATTTGCTACCTGTTACATCACAGACAGGAAATTACTTAAGCGAAAAGGATGCTTGTAATCACTCATGTTACTTCCAGCCTTGGCTAAACTCTATGTCCATCACAGTTTGAACCAGAAATTGTCAACATAAGATACACAATTTGACTAAGGGACTGTAACAAGAACGCCATGTGACCTGCACTGCCACTTTGCCAGAGGAGGAGGAAAGGTCACTTTATTATGTGCAAAAGGAAACCTGTGAAGCCTAACAGTTGCTAGGAAAAAATTGCATCCCCATACCTTTTTGTAATAATCTGCCCTTGCCTAGAAGCCATATCAGTGGGAAAAGCAGACTGACAGAATTAGAATTTCCCTAGATCACTGGCAAAATTTGTCCCGACCATAACAGGGCACAGGGTTTACCTACTTCTGCATAGCATCGTTTCACTTCTTCGTATCTTAAGGAGAAAAAATCTATTACAAAAATTAAAAAAAAACACAGTATGAAATATACAACAGCCACCATTAACATCATATTTATTGTTATTTAGTTGCTCAGTAAAACATATACAGATATGTACAATATGCATGAATACAGAAGACTGCACTTTACATATTTAAAAAAAGAAAAATAACACTCAATTTCATGAGCTATTGTCACAGTCTTCCAACCAAGCATTTAAGAAATGAATTTAACAAGATTCAAAAAAAAAAAAAAAAAGATTACAGGATTGCCTAACACACAGCAGAGTCAAGTTTTCATATTTTACATGTGCAATAACATTTTTCAGAAGAGTTTGCTATGCAGTACGGATTACCAGTGTTTTGATTCTTTTTCTTTTCCGTGAACCAAATTTAGTACAAAGAAATAACATCCTTTTGCTTAAGGCTGTTTTAAAGCTGTAATATTCTTGGGTAGTGAATAGTGATAAAGTTATAACTGCCGGAAATCGCAGCCTGCAGTTTCATCAGTCAGAATCTATGAGTGGATGGACTGAAACCAACAATTTTAATAGAGAATTTCTAAGACAAAATTAGACTATTTCCTCCATTAGCCTTAAGCAATAAAGGAGAAACAATTCTATAAAAATGGGTTATGCTCTTATACACCATCCATTGAACAGCTGTGAATCTAGTATTTGAGAAAACCTTACACTGCAGCTTAAAAAAAAAATCAAAATTTACCAGTTCTGGTTTTGTCTGCTTTTCCCCACCCACCACCCACATCCCCCCCTCCCTCCCAACGGTAGAGCAAACACACCCCGCTTTAAGCATTTCGATGACCTGTGGTCACGTTACACTTTCCTACTTTAAGGAACATGTGAACCTTTTGCCTTAGTATTGGTGCCTGGAAGCTGTCATACTGATTTCCTGTTTTGGAAAGGTCAACTAGCCTTAGAATGACCACCTCTAAATATAGTATCAGAAAAAGTTCCCTAAATGACACAGATGACATAATGTTGATGTTCATTCCCTTCCACCCAAACCACACAATGAAATTCTAACATATTTGATGAAATTCACCATAACGAAATAAAAATGAGTCTAAACCCTCTCTCACAGATGGTCTAAAAAACTGAACTAGAATAGCAGAGAACTATCAACCCTATGAAAAAATGATCTGGAGAAACTTCTCAAGAGCATTTAATAAATAAGGCCTATTCTTTCTTTTTTCTGGCAAAGAGATATTTTATCACTCCTCACAAGTTAAACGCAAAAGATACTTTGCTTAATTTGCTACTACTTTTTAACACAAAGAATAAGTACAAAGTTTCTTTTAACATATACTGAAAAAAATCAGCAAGCTAGGTCAGGATGAAATTCACCCTTGAAGGGCAAGAACCAAAAGATATGTAACTTTCGAACTGTGACTTAAACTGGCACCGACAAGGGGTAGGTGGGTGGGTGGGTGTGGGTGTGGGTGTGTGGGTGTGGGAGTGTGTGTGTAAGAACTGAAAATGCTAGGCAAGGCAGAGAGGATTTTCCAAAATAAATATGAAGCCATATTTTTAGCTATTGTTCACAAAAATAAAGCAAAGATCGTGCCCACCTTAGGGGCATATTTACCATATAGCTCTGACTTCTTAGTGCAATGTTCTCATTGTCTTGAAGCCTTATATGATATGCAGGTGCAAGTTTAAATTATTCTGGCTTTATTCAGTCATTTGGGGGAAATTTGTAACATAAAATTTCACTCTCTGTTGTACTGGGTCATCCACAAAAGGAAGAAAGCTTAGAGCTGTGTGGCAGAAAGAAATGCCTCAGCGACGAGGGCTCTGAGCCAGAGGTCACAAGTAGGTTATAGCTCAATTCTGCCATAGCTCTGCCTTTGACGCAGCTCAAGTTGACACTCTGTCTGTGCCTCAGTTTCCCTGTCTAAAAACATCTACATCTTACACAACAGGCTTTTCTCTACAGCTCTCAAACTTTTAATTGAAGGTACTATTATTCCCAAAATTAGGTATTTCAATTCTTAGCATGTAGTGCTATGCTGATATTTTATATATGTTAAAAAAAATCAGTGCATTGAGTGTCAAATTAATGGAGAAAATGAGTAGAATAAAATTACCACAGGCAACAAAAGCGTTGTGACAAATTCTCTAGTTGTTGTCAGTGCCAAATACACCAGGTATGAGCATGAAGTTACACTTGTCCCAGTCAGTTTTATGTACCGTTTCTGTTCTGATCTTTGGCAGGAAGCAAAGAAAATGTGAAAGCCCAAACTAGTACTGGTGTTATGTAATAGCTACAACTCATAGAGCTGGCGTATTCTCCTTCTGTTCAGCTGAGTCACTTAAAAGTAAGCGAGATCCAATAGAATAAGGTTAGCAGAAAGACTGCATGTACCTGTATTAGTTAACAAAACTATACAGACAATAAGGCCCAGAGGAAGATCAAACATTGTTTGTTTTTAACTCCTCACTATCTAAAAATTCTGTCCCCCCACTAACAGCACCAGCGAGACAGAAGCAGATATTCAGCTGCTGCATAACGTCAGAGCTCCCTGGACTTCCAAACTGTACAGTTTAGAAGCTGGATATGTCCCTCAGTTTCAGTGAATCAGGGATCTAATCATCCTCTCATGTCATATGATTTAAAGCTCTTCCATTGTTTTTTATGGAATTGTTTCCAATTTATATTCCTATAAGCAAGTCCCAAGTGAATGAAAACAACTACCTCAGGATAGACGTGCAAGCTGCAGAGAGCAAACCAAAAGAAAGCGATGAGTAAGACCAACTGAGGCAATATCCTTCTACCTAAAGGAGGATTTTTTTAAAAACAGATTTGAAATGCTTGGTCCAGCCTTCATTTAAAGGTCTCTTCCTGGTGCACAGGGTGTGCACCCCTGACCTACGGAAGCTTGAAAAACCTGCTCTCTTGAATGTAGAAGGAAAAACTAAAAACGAAGACGTATGCCATCACGCCTGCGCTATGGCCTAAAGTCTCAGCTCTAAGTGTTGAAAGACAACATCATATGTCTAGGCATGTGTTTTGTTGGGTTCACTCCAAGACACACCTAGCTTGAACAAGTATAAGCTGCAACAGAACTATTAGAATTGTGGCCCTAATCCGCCAAAGCACTTATCCCCATGCTTCATCAGATACATAAATTTTACTTAGTTTAGCACTTACTTAAGTGCTTTGTTAGACAGGATGTAAAGTTAAACACGTATTTAGGTGAACTGAGACTTAAGAAATCACAGGCAGAGGCATCTGCCAGCATTGGGAATGCCAATTATTATTCTGTGAGGAGATATTTTACTAGGGATATTTTTATTGCAGGTACACAGAAGAGCTCTGGACTTTTCAGTAGCATAAGCACCTATAAAAGGTACAAAATATCACATCTTTTTGTTCCAGATCAAGTGGGTAAGAGACAGCTCCACAGTCAATTGCTTCAGGATGGACAAAAAATCCTCATCCTAGTGGCAGCTCCAATTAAAAACTAAACCAGTATTAAAAACCAAAGCTTAATACCCCAAATTTATCCAAAATAAAGTCACTGACCAGAACCATAACAGGAAAACAATCAGCACATGGCCAATAAGAGTACATTCAAATAACAGAGAAAAATCCTGTCTTTATAAACACCATAATTTTTTTTTGAAGCCACATATGATTGAAAGTGACGCTCCTGTGCCATTAGCATTTTAGGCAGAATTCCCTCTCCACTGATGTCTACTGAGGACACTATTTCAAAATAATTAAAGGCCCAGCACAATCATCTAAGATAAATACAAAGCAGTCTTCAAAGTCTGTCCCTTGAGAAGGGACACATTTTGTGAATTCATGAAAGAAACAATAAATAACACTAGCAATTCCGACCTTTATTTCACAGCTAAAACCTAAATTTCCAATGATGTTACTAAGCTTCAGGGAGCAGAGGAAACCAAGCTGGCCTGAACAAGGGTGGGACTGTTCACATTCCCTGTAAACAGAGGATACACAAATAATAGACAGTGTTATGTAAAACCACAGGAGTGTCAGACCATGTCATTTTTGTTTTTAGCTGGTTTGCTTCCAACTTACTTCTCAAATGAGTATTATCTATCAAGAGCAGGAAAGCATGTTTTTCCTTTTATTGTGTGCATCTAATAACACTGTTCTTCAGATGCATGGCAAAAATGGGGCCTAGAATGAGCTCAGGGGGTCTAACTTGGGGTCTCCCAGCCCTGCCAGATGAGAAAACGCTGACCCCAGCATATGGGGAACGGTATCTGGAGAAGGATTAGAACAAAAACGCTCTCGCACCATGACACGAAGATGCAAGCAGACCTGCAGCCTCAGCCCTGGCCCTGGCCCTGGCAGTCCCTCGCTCGGCACCACCACTGTTACCATCATCGTCATCGCCGCACCAGGACACCCACGGCGGCTGCTCCAGGGATGGCAGCAAAGCCACAGCGTCGTTCCTGGCTACAGACAAGTACGCAGGAAGCTACATAACACTTCCAATCAACAGCTATCTCCCTTCAGCGAACAAAAGGGGAAAAAATGGGAACTTTGCTTCAGTACAGCCTTCCAGTGACTTTGGTAACTCCAGTAATTGCAGCATGGCAGACTTAAACCCAGCCTAGCATGAGGGAGTTCAGCACCTCAGTGCCACACTGGGCTTACATTTGTGTGGCCAGGACATTGCTCCACAGATTAAGAGCAACACACAGGCAGACTTAGTAGCTTTTGGGGAGATTTCTTCTTTAAACAGTTATAAAATAAAATGACAACTCCAGCAACAGCACCACAAACATGAAAGGCTACACACCATGCTCCGGAGCATGTCTGCACCCCTCACTCTTCCTCACAAGTGAGAGAAGGAGATAAAACAAATTCTACTGCCATCTGGGTGTTTGGTAGAGAAGATGATAATTATTAATCATTATGTAAACTTCCTGTTAGACTTGCTCAGAACAAAACCTTTAAAACTTCAGGGCTGTGTCTGAACCAGGCCCTGCTGTTCATAACAGAACTCCGTATCTGGGCTTCACAACAGTAAATAAACCAAATCCTGTCCTCACCTAAAGAAGGAGAAATGGAGAAAATCAGCGAGGGAGGGAGGTGATTAAATGTGTTATTAATAACAAAAAATAATCTTCCCAAGAAAGAATAGAATCATTGCCTGACTACTGAACAGAGCACTAACTGTTTGGTTTGTGTGTGACTGGCGAAAGCTGGGTGTCAATACATAATATAATGATGACAACTTCCCTTTAACTGGCATTTATTCCTGAACTGCTGTTCTTCAGGATTACCATTGCAATAAGCACTGAACAAAGCAAAAAAAAAAAAAGAAGAAAGAAAAAAAAAAAAAATGAAAAGGGAAAGGAGGAGGAGAAGTAGTATCTTTGTCTTATTATGACATACGTGACTTGGACATACACTGCGATGAAAAAGGAAAAGGCCTCATCTACAAATGTATGCCAAGATTACAGAATAATGGGGAAAAAGTGGTCTAGCAGGAAAATCTTAAGCAAAAGTGTGCTAACTGCAGAAGGGTTAACACTGGTAACATACTGTGGCAGAAGATTAAAAAAAAGTTGAGGTTTACTTTAAATTAACCCTTTCCAGTCCATATGCCACTAAGCAGGTACCAACCTAGAAAAATAGTCCACCTAGCAGTAGCGGCCCTTTGAAATTAAAAAGAGGAAAAAAATAATTTTTTTTGTTCAAGTCAGGGCAGCCACAAAAGTCCCAAATCTGTTGGAGATGTCTGAGTGCAGGGATCTCCATGTCGGCACCGCAGTCCGGCCCTTCGCCTCGCCCATGTCGTCCGTGCAGTGAACCGAGAGGCATTGCAAGTGGCTGCCCGTCTGCGCCGGCGCTGAGGTCTTGTTCGGGGGAAGGTCGTGGGCTGGAAAGGGTTAATAGAGAAGTTATTGTAACAACCGTGCAATACAACCACGTACATTCAAAACAACAGCGAGTGGAGGCGCGCAGGCCGCTGGGGCCGCGCTCCCGGCGCCCGCCAGGAGCCGTTCCCGGCCCTTGGCCTCCGGTCGATCCACCTCCCTGGCTTCCATCGCTCGCTCGCCTGCTTTCTACCCAATGTACCTGTCGGTCCGCCCAGCTGAGACAAACTGCTTAAGGACTTCTAATTAAAGCTTGATCTTTGTTATTCACGATCTCATGGTAGTGAGTTTTACAGGTTAATTTTTCACTGTGCCAAAAAAATCCTCCAAAATATTTTCTTTTATATGCACTTCTTTTAAATAAGTCATCAATATGTTTGACTATTCTTGTTTCATATGAGGAAACATACGTGTGAGTCTTTAATTTACTTTCCACCGTCCATTATTTGAAAACACTATTAAACCTTCTCCAACCAGAAAACCAGCCCAAAATGTTTCATCGGCCTCAAAGTCATTCTCTCATCTCTCTCTTACAGGTACAGGCTTCTCCATTTATCTTTTTGAATGGAATAGCACAAAAATGTTTTTCTTATAATTTATTCGTTCTGATATTTTGTACAGTTTTTAATTTCTGTTAACCACAGAAAATAAAGCAATTAATTGAAACATCCTAAACAATGTCCCATGCCTTTTTCCTCTAGATTTTACTGTTAATATGAAAAGGAGGTATATTGTTCATTCCAAAGTATATAACCATACACTCCTGACTTTTTCTCACTATCACATCTGCATTTTCCCTTGCTTTGTTTTTTTAATACATTCAGTAATTTTCTCTTTTCCAAACATATTTTTGTCATCCTCCAATTTTGCCACAGCGCACTTGCCCGCTCCCTCATCCTTGGCAGGCCAGGGATACCTTTCCTTCGTCATGCTTGCTGACATCAATTATCTCGTCCTATTCCACTGTTCCTAGTCAATTCACACAAAAAAAAAACAAACTTCAGCTCTCACCTTGTACGTCCTCACATTTCCTTAATAACCTTTTCACGGGAGCCTTCTCAAATACTTTCTGAAATGGCAAAGCAGAAGCTCCCGCCCACGACTGCTTCCATGGGCCGAGCCCGTGGCACCAAGCAGGCTGCTCCCTCGCTGCCCTCTTTCAGGACAAGCCAACCGGCAGCCTGACAGCACAAGAAAATTCTCTCACAGGTAACACATTCCCCCCAGGAGCGCGCCTTATTTTGCCAGTGAGGATGTCCAAGCTGATGCAGACAGCCCCCTCCAGTCCTAGGAAAGAGGGCTTTTAGCAGGATTAAAAACTGAGAGTAAAAAGCATGACAGCATAAGTCAAGACAAAAAAAACCACCAAAATCTTGACAGGCAATCTGCATTTTCTCTCATTCACCATTTCATATATATTCACCTAGGAGGAGTTGACAACAGACTCGACTGTGGTGTTAGCAAACGCAGGGCTCCATAATTTCTCTCTGGTAAACACAGAAAATTCCCAATTTGCATGGGTAAGGATGATGCTGGAGCATGCCAAATATGCCAAAAAATGGCTGTGAATGTTTAACCTGGTTAAGACTTTTCTTCACGTTGTCTTTCTAATGTTCCATAAACTTAAGTAGCGCAAGTTTATTACACTTCATGGAACAAGTTAGATTTGCTTCATTTAACCAACTACAAAATCAGATAACCAACAGGAACTGCATAGCACTGTTGCAAGATCATAATGATACCACATTTATGTTAATCTTTAAAATAACTTAAACTATTTCGGAAGTCCCTTATTTAAACTGGAAAATGCTTTAAATGCTGGGTTATAGGATGCCAGATATGTTCTTATTCAAAACAGTATCGTAACATCAAATAGAGAAACAAATCAGAACCTGGGGACACGATGCTGTAAGAGATGCGAGAAGGAACTCTGCTCCAGAGCAGCGACCACTACCTGCTCAGCAACCTGCCGTATTCGTGCAACAATGTGCAAAATCAACACAAAGCTATGTTACAAACCTTAGCTTAGCACACTGGTGGGTTTTTTTGGTTTGAATTTCTGTAGGATATCATCACTGACCACTGTAATAAGCAAAGTATCAGTTGGTCAAAGATGCTCACATTCTCTAAATCCAAAATGGATGACCGTGTCCTGTAGCTGACTAGTTTTTTTTCAGTCAGTTTTGATAAACGAACAGCAGAGCTGAAGCACAGGGCAGAATTCTCCATGTAACCAAATGCACAATTTCAACAGGCAAAGACGGCATCAGCACAGCCTTTCTTTGGTCAAACACTGGTAACTTTCTTGCTTCCTGTTACCCGCTCAGCCTCATCACATCCCCGACTTCCTCCCTTCCCTGTACAGTCTGCTGAAGAGCAGCAAGTGTTTTCACCTCCCCGGGGGTGCATTTCCCCCTTGGCCGTTAGCACATCACCGACACGTCTTTGCTGCGGAGCTGGTGCACTCGCAGCGCTCCGCAGGCACAGCAGCAGGCACTGCTCCACCGTCGTTCCCGGGGCAGCTCCAGCAACAGCAAACACGACGCCATGTATGTTATTAACAGCTCTATTAGTGGAGAAGAGTGAATCCAAACCTGAGATTATGATGCCACTTCAGGAAAATCACAGGGCAGAGGAGGACTCCCTAAATACATGGTTTTTTAATGAATGCTGATTGTAAATGTACCTGCACGAGTTTATATTTATAAAGTATGTAAAAACCCAAATGAGATTGCAGAAAATTGAAAAAGAAAAATGCTTTTTTTTCTTTTGTATTTGTTCATGTCTCCTACAATGCACATAGCACCCTTTTTTTTTTTTTAATTATTCTTAGATCTCCCTTAAAGCACAGGACATGCTGGTCTCGGTACAGGAAAAGCCAGCGCCTTGAGATTAGTCTTTGTGACAGCAGCATTCTTCCTCTGTCGCAGAAAAAGAGGAAAGAGTCCTGCTCATGAACTGTTGTCACAAGAGGCCCAAGGATATCTGTGGTGTTTAGGCAGGGGGCATTTACCATAGGATGTTAGACCAGCATTTGAGCCGAGAACACAGGGACATTTACAGAAGTGGCAGAGAAAGAACATTCCCAGACCAAGATCCAGCAACAGGCTGCGAGTCTCCGAGCTCTCTGCTTTGATCAGATCTCAAGCTTCTGACTGCACAAGCCCAAAACCTTTGAACTGTGCTTTGCTGGCATGGGCAGCAATGTCTGCACCAGTCACTCAGATGCCAGCAACACCCAGAAAGGATCAGGTCCTCAGTCAATAACTAACTGAGGATGTTTGTACGCCACAAGCCTCTAAAGAATACCAAATTGGGCTTCTTTACTGGTAAACCAGTGAATTAGTTTTAATGTATTTGCTGAGGATAAACAAAGGAATCAAGGCAAAATATATCCCACAGTGACGAACAGGATTTTTTGGCCTCAGAGGAAACCTCAGGTAAATGAGGTAAGCGGGACCTGGATCCTAAATTTGCGAAGGAACAGTGACCATCACTGTCCACATAATATCTAACTCAACAGCGTTATGCAGGAGCTCAAGCTGTCTTGCCCTACAGTTAAGAGCACAGAACGTGATGCAGTCAAACCCAGGAATGAAAAGGAAGAGGATGAGAGCTTGCAGTAAGGCTTGCATTGGCAGAAGTTGTTTCAAAGGCAATTTGGATGGAAATATTCAGTGCAATTTAGTTTTTCCAGGCATTTCTGTCTCGACAAAGCTATGATGCTTTTCTGATGGAACCCTTTGAATTTAAAAACAAAAGCTGCTCTGCTCCACCTGGTAAGAATCATATTCTTAAACATGAGAACCTCTGCCCGATGCTTGCCCAAAACAGTAACGTTCCCTCAGCAGATCTGTTTTACCAGCCTTCCTCGGTATTTCACTGCCTCATTCAAACTAACAATGCCACAGCACCTGCTTTATGCAATACACACTGAATCCTGAGGGGTATTGTTAGCAGAGACTGATGGGACTCAGCAGGTTAAAATTAGTCAGATAAAGCAAGATGGTGTCATCGCTTCATTGCCTTGCAGTTGCCAAGTTTCAGATAAATCATTGTCAGTCATGAAGTACATGTAATTTTTTTGAAAGCAAGGA